GGACTTCAAAATAATAAATGCTTTTCATCATGATGGGGTTTATTGTACATATATGTTTCTGCCAAAATTTAAGGGGGGTTTTGTTTTGGGGTCAGAATCCGATGAGGTAAATAAGAAGGAAGAAATGAAGTTCCTCAGGTTTTACTGCGCAGTTGGTGCTGCTGACGTCGGTGCAAAATGAAACAGTGGGCGAAGAAAATCCAGGAGTTTGTGGTAGAGGAAACGGAGAGGAAAATCATTTTACATCCGTCAGAAGCGTCGTCGTCGTCATCAGCCGACACACGCGCGGGAAAAGCATCTGAATTAGATTTAATCAAGTGCTGAAAAACATGGGCTTTGATGGGTGAAGTGAATGAGGAAAAACGAGCGAAATGAAGCGAATTAGACGTCGAGAGGCGAATTTGAATAGTCGGCAATTAGCACCCAACTGACTTCTACTTCTCGCACAGCACAGACGAGGGTTAAATTTAGAATTCCCGCGAATTCCCTGGGAATGCTTGAAACCCCTTCATCTTTGTGAATGGCTTTGAGGAGGAATGCTGATGATTGCTTTCGGTGGGATTTTCATTTTTCAATCAGCAGCAGTCGTATGCATGTGGACGGAAATTATTTCAAAATTACCCGTTTGTTTCGCGAAATAAAAAGAATCTCGCGGAAAAGGAGGATTTCTGCACACGGTACGCATTATTTAAATATTAATCATAGTGCTATGAATCACACTGCTAAAAAGGAAATATTGTAGCTTGATATTTTTCTGACAAACGTACTGTCGACGTTGCTGTTCCTAGCTATTTATACAATATTTATTTTGCCTTCTAATATTTGATCTATAAAAATACGTCAGAGTAATTCTGATTTTCATCGATGTTCATTTCCCATCTTTTCTTATGAATAATGTACATTTTTGCACCTTTAAATGTTTCTATAAATAGCCTTCAGCAAAATTGATGGTCTGGAAATTTCAGTGTTCGATAATTTTCAACTTCGTGTTTCAGATGATGGTCTAGAAAAGCTGATCAGATGATGGTCTAGAAAAGCTCAGTAAAAATCAGTAGATCTCAATGTGAAGTTATTCAAATTTTAGAATGTGAAGGGTTTTCTGTGAAGTGTCTCAAAAATCTGTATTTTTCAACAAAGTTTGCTGACGTATGTCTTCATTCGTGTAACCATCTTGGGGAAACAATAAAGCATCTTTTGATTGAAGCATGCCCATAATGGAAATGAAAATCACCCCAAAGACAAAAAAATGCATTCTTTTCAGCAAAATAAAATATATATAAATAAGCTCCAAGTTTGCTTTCACTAAACTTTACGCCTGGCATATACTTCAGGAAATACAACTGCTATGAAAATCGGTCGATTGATTTCTGGTCCTTCTGCTGTAGCATTCATCTCATTGTGATCCAAGGTAAGTTCTTACAAAAAAAACTTCGTTTCAGTTTATTCACATACGATTCATCGGCGCTCAGTGCGAACGAAGTTCCATTTTGTAGTCATCATACAATCAATAAATTCATAGGACTGCTTGAAAATGTTCTAGAAATCTAGAAGAACAGAAATGGAGCATAAAAAATAGAAGATCTGGAAATTGCTGTTTTCCTGTATAATTTACGAAATAAAACTTTTTCAGACGTCTAATCGCAAATTGGAATGCTCATTATAAAAAAAAAAAGCTTCAGAAATGGCAAAGAATCATACACCTGACACATGCATCATGCAGAAAAGGGATTCTTCTGTATATGCAAACTCTTTTACTTTTTATCAATAAGAATGTGAAGATCTTTTTTTACTAAAATCTATACAAATGCTTGTATTCAACTTTAAGCCGCGATTTTCAAAATTTTGATTCAAGAAAGAAATTGCAATAAACTATAAAACAAGTTGAAAATGTTGAACGAATTCGGAGCCCGGAAAAATGAAGAAACTCCTATTCATTGATACTTAAAAAAAGACTTATATTTGCAATGGATGAGAATGTCAAGATTTTTATACTGACTTAAATCTACGCTATAGTATTGTACATAACTTTACGTCGTAATTTACGTAATTAAAGTTTTTTTTTAGAAATAACGGTTAATTTCAAAGCTCATTGAGAATTTTGAACAGAATTAAAACCCTGTGGAAAAAGGAAGCTGCTGGAGGAACTCATATATTCATTTACAATGAGGCATTTGTTAGGCAAGTATAGAATTAATGATGTAATTTGCTCAATATCTTCTAGAGTTTTATCCACTATTTTAAAATTGTATGAAAAACCTTATGAAGGGTTTATTAATTATTAATTGTTAAGCTAGTCAATCCCAGAGTAGAATATAATCATCAGATTATCCAGTTATTCAGTTGAAGCAAGAGTTTTCTGAGTACATAGTTGATTATTCTTGTGAAATGCATATCCTTATTCCTAACCCAGTAATTCTCAGAAGGAATTCTGGCCCCTGTCCCAGGCTCATTATTGTCTTTTATTCATACAATTTTACTCTCTTGATCCAGCTTTACACTAACTTATATTGAGGCGACATCTGTCCTCAACATAAATTGGTAGCAGAAAGTGGTTTTCTGTCTTTTACTTCCACTCTCTTTTCTCCATCCCCTGTTGATCTAATTCCACTGCAACTATGGTTTGAATAATCTCTGACAATTCGCACAGCCTGCTGTCAGTCCGTTGTGTGGGCAGCAGCGCGTGGGATTCATCACTTCATCAGTGGGTTGAGAGATATCCGAACTGCGCGCAATTCTCGCGAATTTTGCTCCTTAATGCGCGGCGGAAACCAATCCAGTTAAGTTGCATGATATCCTCCATTATGCATAGTCTTCATCCACACGGGCTTCTGGTTTATCCCAGCACTTATTATTGCCAATGAATTCGTGGCAATACTCTATTCATTTCAGGCCAATTACTTGCTGTAAAACAATGACGGTATATACTGTATACATTGTATGTGAGATCCGATTGATTGAATGTATATGCTTCCCGACTCCCGAAGTGATACGCATATACAGAATATATATTGCTGACATGCGAGATAGCAGCACGGAAAACCACTTGCATATCGAAGGTTTTTCATCAGTGCGATCAAAACCGTCTGTGCCAAACTGTTGATCGTATGCTGCTTCAAATAAATTAGCATTATTATTCGCCGCGTCGTGTCAAGTTTGTGAACAGCAGACACACTTAATATGCAGTTGAATCTTGATAAATCAAACCTCCCTAAGTCAAATACTGTACCTCCATACAAATGTCGATTTCTTTCAAGTCCCTTATTGAAAAAATGCATTAAAAACTTCCCTAACTTGAAGGCTTTTTTCTCAAACATCCATAATTCGAATTTTCTGGAGGTCTTTTGGTATTTTTCTTATTTAAACAGGAAAGAGAAATGCAATAAAATTTAAACCAGCAGCTAATGCGTTTCTAAATAAGGAAGTGAAATATTAATTGCATGGACAACTTAACCCCTGCCTACAATCTTGTCAACTCATTTATTCTGCAGTTTATGGTCCAAAATACAACACCAATCATACAATTTCCCGCAATTGTTCTCTCCCCCCCCCCCCCCCCCCCCCCCCAAAAAACATCTGTCAAGGAATCCCCCCCCCCCCCCCCCCCAAAAAAACAAAAATGCTTGTTTCCTTAATCCAGAGCTTCTCTAACTCGAATTTTTTGCGGGCCCATTATTGAAGCTTCGACTTAAGTATGGCCAGCAAATATTTAAAAAATGTGGAGTAGAGTGTTGGCTATCATCATACGCATACTGTACTCGTATATACAGTACCTGTATTGGAATCGTACCAAAAATTGCACAAAAAAATCTATATCTCATTTGCTGTGCTCAACACCAAATATCTAATGATATAAAAAGGAAAATTTCTCTTGTTTTTAATATTACAATATTATTGATTACGTCTATTTCATTTAAATATCGAATTCAAATTGGATTCGAACAATTCTGCATTTGAAGAAATTTTTGATGGTAATAAGATGTTCTTTGCATGGTGCGATGCATGCAGGCTGTGCTTTTGTACAATTGGGTACAATATGTTGACATTGACAAATGACATATACAGTACATTATATATATGCATGACCTGCTCCTAATCATGGTCATAAAATTACAAAATTCACTGCACAGGGTTTATTAAAACTTCTGAGCTTTCATATAAGCAGAACAGAATGCAAGTGCTGACAAATATGAGCTGAACCTCTTCTTTGATACAAAAATGCTGAAGATCGGTCCACGCGCATTTTTCTTCAACAAGTTCTGTATATACAGTAGTAATCCCTTCTCACCCTGATGTGCTATTTTATTCATTGCGATTTGTGTCAGCCATTAAATGCACAAGAAACTATCGACAGCATGCTTATAATATATGCGGAATTGGTTTCAAGCATCAAGAAGAGACAGGATCGCGGATTTGAAATCTTGACAGGATCGTTCATTAAGGGATGAAGTACCGCTCGCTCTCGTACGTCACGTCACACTTCACGATGGTCGTGCAGAAACCACCTGCTGCTTATATGAACATATGCCGTTCGTGGGTTTGCGCACTTTTAGCGATTCTCCTCTGCTGCTGCTAGATCTTATTTTCCCCTAAATTTATAGCAGAATTAATTTATGATAACACCACGGTGTAATACTAACAGGCTCTGAGACCATCTGATAATGTTGAGAACAGAGCCGCCGTAATTAGTTAAAAGCTTCGGACAAGAGTTAGAAATGATCCTGGATTTCTGGTCCACTTACGAAACCTTCCCATCAAAATGGGCACATCGCATATGCTCGATGTTCGCAAAGGTTATTAGTAACTGATTTTTCTGTTTAGGCAAAAAACAAGTTCGGAATCAACACTGATGAGGAAAAAGTTCCGCGATGATAATTCAGTACAGTATTACAGCGAGGACAACAGAGATTTGTGAACGAGGATCTCTGGTTTCGTACGAGCGACATCTACATGAGGAGACATAATTCTTGCGGCATTCAGCATTTCGAAAATCACGAGCTGTCAACAACTCAAGAATTGAAAGAAAAACAAATTGAAACGAAAGAAAATCCAGTCAAGGTAGGATCGGCTCATCATTTCTTGTTGTTGAAATTGCGAGATATTTTCTCTTCCTCCGCTAGCTGCCGTCGAAATTGAGTCACCTTGATTTTCATGGTGTTGTAGAAATCAATCCGCTCTGCCAGAAGGTCTTCCAATTGTTGAGCATACGCTGCGAAATACAAACATAGAATTTAACGATCATCCATATTTTTTCCTTTGGAAGAAGCCACAAAAAACCGAGGTGCTCACCATCAACATCGTAATCCACTTCATCAGTCATTTTCAACAGGGACTTGTCCACTGCGGTCCAGCGATCATTTTCTTCAACCGCAGATCTGAAAATCACACGCAAATAAATTCAAATGTAAACGCGCGAAATATAAGCGGGAGTCAGGATGCCTGACCAGGAACAGTTCTCAATTCAAAACCTGCGATATCAAACGCCCAAAATTTACTACACAGACTTGCTAGTGTTTTTCAGATCTTGCGTGAAGCTCTAGCAGGACAAAGAATTTGAATCGGTGCTTCAAAAAATGCTAATAAGTCTCATGAGCCAAGACAGCTTGAAAAGAATGCCCAGAACAGGAAGCATGCAAAAAATGCGTCCTTATGATCATCTACAACTTCCATAATGAACCGACGCCAGATCGTCACGCCCACAAAGAAAGGCGTACAGAACTTGAAGAGCTGTCTAGAATCATGATTTAATTGACACATCCAGTCACATCCTACCACACTTCGAAAAGCACAATTGTTCAAGGACAAAATCATAACATTTGTAAATGGATTTATGGACGAACTTCATACATTATAGAAAAGCTCTATGAACCAGAATCACAATCGTTTCGAAAACGGCGTTGAACGTGAAGTTCAGAAACAAATACGCCTAAAATTATTAAAAACTTCAATAATACGCAAAATGTAAACTATGTATCCATTATTCACCTGTGGGCATCAAGAACCTCATCCTCGATCGTTTGTAGATGCGTGATGGCGGATTGATGATGAAACAGATCATCACTCAACTCCTGCTCCTGAAATGATGGCAAAGCAGGAGAGAAAAAAAAGGGGGGAAAAAACAGAGAGAAAGAAATTTCAGGCAGCATGAAAAAACACTGAATTCAACTTGCAATGTGTCTTTTCCGCACGTAAAGCAAAGCATCCTGCCTTCCGCCGACTTTACGAGCACCCCGAGACAATCGCGCGTGGGACATATTCGCGGGGTAAAATGTATGCTGGGATGCACCTACTCGGTTCATCTCCTGTTTCGAAGAAAAGGTTGATTCGTTGAATCCAAAATCTTTTGATTTTAGCTCATATGTACGATCTTTTGATACTACTTTACTACGGCAAAAAAAAAGTCATCGAGCAAATTCCAATTGACTAACGCTGATGATCTCGATGACAAATACCGGTTACGGACATTACTGGAATCTTGAACCGACTCGCAAAATATTATAGAGTTACTGAGTAGCGAGGAATTCGTAATTCACGCTATGAATTTCCCACTTCGTCCTTTAAATTGATATTACAGTGCTATACCGAGGGAAAATGTGACTGGCATTCATACTTAGATTTGAATTTCCACTCGATAACTCCAGCAAAGGAACACTCTTTCTGAACGGTAACAAAATGGGACTCTCCAAGCTCTGGGAGTTTCAAATTGATTAAAAGTGAATTTTCTGTTATTTTACCTTAGTTGTAACTTTTTTGAACCATCCAAATAAACTCATCAAAATGGACTTTCTCCTTCATATAACCAATAAATAAAAAACGGAATACTGCACTATCAAAATACAGCACAGTAACTTTTTGGTTATTAAATATTACGCTCAGGCAATCGAAAAAGAAAATTATAGCCGAAGAGGCAACTAGACATCATTGAAGTGCGAGGCAAAAACTGAAGATTAAATGGGAACCAAAGAAACGATAGAAAAAACGGAATTAATATTTACATTCAACGATCGCAATTGCGCCAAGTCGTCATCATCGTCGTTCATATCGTCTTCGTCCTCGAGGTCGATTGCTCCTCCTCGTGTCGACCCGGACATAGCAGGATCCGATGCTCCGAGTTCCTTCACTCGATCCGCGTATCTCAAAGTATTTAAGGAATTCTCGCAAGAGCTCAATCCGGGACTGATCATGGCAATCTAAGCAAAAAGAAGTGGACATTAAGAAAACGGATTCAACAATTCTAGAGACAAGTATGACTGTCCAGCGGACGAAGGAAATTCCGAAGATCTTCAGCTTACATTAATGAATAGTAACAGAAAGCCTTAAGGTGTATGCACCTACAAGAAGTTTATAAAGCGCTCAGCCACACTTAACTAACTAACTTTTGCTACTGTCTTTAGTCTTCATTATAAAAAATTTATAATATGGATAGTGAAAGCTCAATGGGAGTTTATTTCAACCACTCAGGCAGCGCGAAAATTAAAAAAGGAAAGCAAACGAATCGCATCAAACCGGATTCAACTGCTCCGAATTAAAATCATTACATGACACATTCATTGATCTAATACACACTCAACGAGTCGAAAAATCCAACAACGAGCAGGTAATAACGTGTCACTACCTAAGCAACAGACCAATTAATTTCATAACTTTAAAATAAAATATTGGACAGTTGGAAAGGGGCTATAATGGACATACAATTTAAAAATACAAGCAATGGAGACGATAAGTTAAAATATCAAAGATGCTCAAAAAAATGTAGCAGCTTCGAGATAAATCCTACAACACGTCGAATGTCGACTATAGTACAGTATTTACCTAAGCAAAAAATAAAAAAAATGAGTAACGCATCAACTGTTCATGAGCACATCCCAATGCTGAGAAAATTTCCACCATTGCTCGAGGAAACAAAAATATTCAATAACTTCAAAATGGATTAGGCACAAAGCAAAACATTTCAGTAGTACTGCGTACAAAAATTGATATTTACCATGCATGTCTTTGATTTTTCTCCAATGAAAGAATCCCTCAACACCTGCGTCAGTTTTGACGCCCTGAAAGGTAAATGCGCTCCTTTCCTTCCCAACGCCCGAATGCACTCCTTCAAAGCTAACAAGGACTTGTTGATCTCGGCTCCTTCCATTCCTAATCAAACACAATCAAAATTACGAATATAATGGAAAAGGAGAGGTTTCCTTCAGAAGAATAAGATAAAATCCAATACAAATCGGTAGGATGACTTACTGGTTGTGCGATTGGCAGAAGTAGTATCTGCGCCTCTTTCATTTCCTGCCAAATCGATCAGAGAGAACTTCCCGTGCAATTTTCCGGTCATCCCATTTCGCAGGACGATCTGGAACACGGCATGGGATCTTGACGAATGCTGATTCACGGCTGTCTGCCCACTCGTCCTGAAAAATTAAAACAGAATAACCCCTTGTTCCAAGAACAAAAAAGCCCTTTCCGTGGTCGTTCGATCCGAAGATATTTATATATTTTTAACATATTTATGCATTCAATATACCGTAGATCAGTATTTCACCAAACCTTCTGATATGCCCAATTCGAAACTGAAGTCACCGGAAAAGTGAGCGAACATTATTGGCCAATGTTACAGCAGCAAGACCGGATAAACTTACAATATTAATTGAAAACGACTCTCGATGAGGAATTTCAGAAGTATCGAATCAGTCACATTTTAGCTGAAGAGCCATGTTAATGCATACGTATTTAAACAAAGTTTTCATAAATCAGAACGCGGTTCAAAGGGTGGTCGAATGGTCTGTCCCCTTTTTCGTACTGTGTACCGTATTAAAAGTCCATTAACATAATTAAAGTCCTATCCCGAAAATAGACCTTACGTCAAGGGCTTTTATCCTTATCCGACGGAAAAAAAACAGTGTAATACTGAACGTTCATCACATTTCATTCTAGTCTACGCAATGAATTCGGAGTTTAATTCACATGCGCTGAATCATCACGATAACTTCTGTACCTCTTGGTAATATCCTTGAATCATTTGTCGGACATTGCCTACTTCCTAGGCCACCTAGAAGACCGCAACGGCACCGCAAATTCTTTCCTAGACCAAGGCTTGTCATCCGGTATCAGCAGAAAATATTTTAATCGCGTCTCGGTCAATGGACTTGATCCGTTACAGTTGGAAATTTATAGCTTCGCATATAAACACACTTGCTCAAATAACCGATGAATGAAAAGCCATTTTAGTTCCGGGGCATCCAATAGTCTCCAATCGACTTCTCGGTACAATTACGTATGCATAAATTTGTTTCAAAAGTATTTAGTCTTGCGCCAAGTTTCCCACCAGCTTACCAGACAGGGGAAAAAGCATGACACATGGCATAATTTTCAGGTAATTGATAATTCACAATTAAAGTCCTATCCCGAAAATAGACCTTACGTCAAGGGCTTTTATCCTTATCCGACGGAAAAAAACAGTGTAATACTGAACGTTCATCACATTTTATTCTAGTCTACGCAATGAATTCGGAGTTTAATTCACATGCGCTGAATCATCACGATAACTTCTCTCCCTCTTGGTAATATCCTTGAATCATTTGTCTGACATTGCCTACATCCTAGGCCACCTAGAAGACCGCAACGGCACCGCAAATTCTTTCCTAGACCAAGGCTTGTCATCCGGTATCAGCAGAAAATATTACTTAGCGCAGAGCCAGTTACCTGAACTAGGCAATGTCAACCTTTAAATATCGAAGCGTATATTTGTGTGAACGAGTTTATTGGCTACTTACTTTTCGGTAAAATCAAGGCCCCGTAGGTTATCAGAGGCAACTGAGAAATATTTTTCTGCATTCTATAGTAAATGACTTTTCCGTTCCAGACCCCATGAAAATTTCATAACCGACAGCCAGATTTTTCATATCGTCGATTTTTCGCAGTATTATCACTATTGGTGGACTCTCTATGAAACGAAATTCAGGCGGCCAGAAATAAATCGTTTTAGAGAAGCCCTATAACATGGGTACAGGACCCCATGGGACAAAAAAAAAGTTAGCAGAGAAATTCGTTGTAAACCAAATCGTCGTAGAAATTAGAGTCAACTTTCATAATACAATCGATTCTCCGTATGAAGCAAAAAACAGTGGTAGTTAGTTGAAAATGCGAGCATCCCAAAAATTATTCCGTGCTAGTTCTAGCCCCCCGACACGACCTAGTACATCTTAATCCTCGTCATGAAAAGGACAAAACACAGTAAAATAATGTTTACCGAGTGACATTCCCCATGTTGATGAGTTTCAACACGTCATCGACGCCGTCAACCGCCTTCTCAGTCAGCCCAACGACTTGAACCTGCTGACGGCCGTCTTCAAGCACGCGCAGTTTGCTCTTTTGCGCCAGCAAATCAAACAGGAAGGGCGACATCTAGAGTTTTTTCCTCGTCCTGTGTCTGTCCAAGTAGCCCCACATGAACCGCCTCGCCTCCTTGGCCTTGTGCAGCTACCGCCGGTTGCGCATCTACGGGAATCACGTCAGGACATTCTTGCCCACGAAGTCCCCGCCCATGGTATGCGTCTTACCGCTCCCAGTTTGTCCGTAGGCGAAACACGTGGCCATCCCGCCGTCGAACACGGTCTCCACCAGCGGTTTCGCGGTATACCTGGAAGATTTTAAACATAGTACGGTACAGTACATGAAAATTCATACCTATTTATTCAGGCCTTTTCTTTGCATAAAATCCCTATACCATCAGCGAGCGACGCATCCTCGAAATCAGTGTTCCAACCTTTTTGGGCCCGCGGACCAGCGGAATTCCACAAAATGTTTGTATTTCTTAAATACCTACCGTGAAGTCCTCCAATCGAAACTTTCATTGCAAAAATCACGTCAAGAATTAATGAACCAGCTATAGTGGAATGTCTTCAAAAAATTAGAAAGCTGGGCTTCAAGAAAGGTTTTACAAAATAAATCAATTTATTTCAGCAGGTGAATATTTGCCTGATATGCTTCTAGGAGAAATGCCAACTTTGATTTTTTTCATCAGGTAATTTGAAATGCCATTGTCTTTCCGAAATTTCAGATAAAAATGACCGACTTCATTACCACCATTGATGAATTCAGTATGCTGAAGAACATTTCCCGCGGAGAGGCAAAAAAAACTTTTGCAAATCAGTGCCGGTCCCGTGGACCACGGGTACTTGGAATACCGTACGCGGCGTACGGAACACGCCGCAGTCTCAAAATGCAAAAATTACACAGTTAAACTAAGAATTGAAAATTAAAGTCAGGCCCCTTCAAACCAACACGACTCCGAAAGAGAAAAAGCTTCGAAGTACAACTCGACGCACTACATCATGGAATCGCTGAGTAAATGCAGCTTCACGAAACATTACAACAAGCTATCGTTATCCAAAATTTTTGAGTTCGATCTTGATTTGGGTAGGGATGCGTGGTCTTTCCTCTTTAACTTGAAGAGCACGGGAGCGCTATCTGCACATAAAGCACCATGTCTGGTCACTGTGCTTTTAATTAACCAAAAGACAAGACATTCATAACCCGTATTTTTCTTGGAACACGATAGTGGGTCTAAGCCAAGAAAAGCCGGGAAGTACTGATCATTTGTCACTTACAGGCGGACACCCGACATGTCACAATATCATACAGGAAGATGGATTAACTTCAAATGAATCCTCGTACCCTGACGAGAAACAGAACTCACGGATAATCAAGGATCATTCGCAAGATATTAAAGTGAATCCCAGAACATTTTGAAAACCACTCCACAAAAATGCAAACGCTGGAAAGGAACAATTTGAACTAACAAATTCTCTCAAATGCCTTCAAATAACTCTCGTTGTAATTTAAAAATCCTGTTTATGCCTCGGCAAAAGAAAATTGACCACGAGAATTCAAAGGTTTAGCAAATCTTCTCAGGAAGCTTGACATTTTAGGTTTAGTTTATATTCTAATTATTGACTACTAATGAGTTGTAAGTATAGATGACCTTCTTGTGTTTATTTTTTACCGTATGGTGTTGATATTTGAATAATTCTCCAACAAACTACTAGAATATAGGCCAAAGGCGAAAGAAAAAAGTCTTCACCCAGACATGGGATCATCATGACATTTTTACGAAATCTTCAAACATACTCACTGTTCAAAGCAGTGCGATTCTCTATTCACTACACTACTCGTGGCCATAATGAGGTTATCATCAATTGAATCCACTACATACATTCTAATTGATAAAACATAAAAAAAACTAATTGTTGGAAGTCCCAGAGAAAATGTGTTACATGAGAAAAATCGCACAGACATGCATTTCACTACGAATGGTGAAATGATGGCTTCGAAATCGAATGATGCAGAAAATAGTATCGGAATTGGATCTTACTTGTAAACCAGATCATTGGAGGAATCCTCGTCAAAGGCGTAGTCGAAGCGGAAATTTTGGTTGTCCAAGTACTTGGTGAGATCTACTTTCTGCTTCGGCTCGTGAATCGTGATAGTGTCCTTCAATGGCACCGTTATTACGTCCACTTCTTTGCGTGCTTTCTCTGAAAATAAAACCGCAAGACTGGTTTCTAACCCGGATCCGATAAAGCGCCACCGCTTCCAAAAAAATACACACACCATGAATTCTCAGCATTAATGATCTCTTCAAAACAACATCAGGCTTAGATCTCTATGAAACCATCATGTCAGACAATATAAAAATGACGGAAGCTGTTGGCTGAACTTGCCTTTCTTGTTCATCGGCCGTTTTCGGACGCAAACGGTTATTTGATGATCTTCAAGATCGTCTCCATCACGAAGCGGACGGTACTCCAAATTGGCTCGATATTCCCTACAATCAAGCATAAAATTAGTTAACGGAAATTCCTCTCGAGACGAAACAAATTTCAAATGCAGTATCAGCACGTCTCACACATACGAATTTAATTTTTTTTACCGCGAAACGGTGGAGAATTGCAACCACTCAGATCCGACCTCTTCACTCTAGTCTAAGATGTCTTCAAATCTCGAATTAAATAAATAAAAAACCTATGGTTGTCGCCTGAATTACGTGATAACTCGCACTAGGTTACTTCGGGATCTGTTGGATTATTTTAGTTAGGTCATAGGTTTGAAAGACATCTGCCCGACATTCCGTAAAGCAAGGTCAGGCGCAAAAAAATTTTAATGAACAGTCTTCTCACCTGATCATAGCCAAAAATTCCCAATTCGGATTGCCCGGGTCGAGATTCATGAGTTCTTGCCGCATCAATTTCTGCTCCTCCTGTTTGGCTCTGCGCTCCTCTCGCTTCTTCTTCATATTCTCAACTTCCTTGACCACGTTCGACTCCTTGACCACATTGGTTTTGCGGCCTTCTGGCGAAGGGAGCACTAGATCAAGCTTGGATTTGTCATCTTTCGCGACGGCGACGGGTTTCGGCAGCACGGTGCTGAACACGCGAGGGATACGCGACTTCTCTGCACGGGGTCCAGGGCGGCGAATACGACAGGGTTACATTTTCCGCAATGACCGGGAAAACTCACGAATTTGATGGCATTTTCAAAATTTTAACAATTGAAAATAAATACAGTAGTTAAAAGGAGCATATCCGACAGCGAGGGCAGAAAATCACAACAAAAAAGTCTCGCTCTCGTCGAAACAGATTCCTTCATTCGAATTCGAAAGCTTCACGGGGTTACAGAATTACAATTAGAGCAAATACAGACAAACCTCCTCAAGTCGAATTTCAAGGCAGCAAAAAAAAAAAAAAAAAAAAAAAAAAATAGATTTAGGGGAAAAAAGAATTACAAAAAAAAAAATAAAAAAAAAAAAAAAAAAAAAAAAAAAAAAAAAAAAATAGAGTTAGGGGAAGACAGAATTACAGGAAATTGTAAATGGAGATATTTTGGGTCTTAAATTTATTTTTAAATGAGTTGACAGGATGCTGAACTTGGAGGCAAGGGTTAAGCATTTTTCCGATCAGTCTTTCATTGCCTTTCGAAACACATCAAAATACTTTATCGATTTTTCTCTTTCCTCTGTCAAAAAAAGGATTGCCAGAAGACCAAAGAAAATTCGAGAGACAGAGGCTTGAAGAGGAAAAGCCTCCGAGTTGGAGAGGTTTTTAATCCACCACTTCTAAGGGAATTCAGATGGGGACTTCAAAAAAAAAAATCGACTCGGAGAGATTCGAGTTATCCAGGTTCGACTGTACCTTCTTAGACTACAACTGTATATTGAAGCGAAACACTCACTCGAAATTGGCAAAGAACTATTCTTGATTATAGTAGACTGGGAATTGGACGGTGCTGGCTGAGCAGCTACAGGCACTGGTACTTTTTGCTCGGGCACCGCAGTGGCATGACGTGTTTCCATTCCGGTCATCGCTGAATTGTATCCGTTGCTACCGCCATTGTGAATATTGTTGTTGGTCATTCCGGCGTTGTTGTATGTTGGTGCAACGTTGGTGTACCGAGTTTTCGCCTTGTTCGCACGGCCGTTGTTGAGGGCTTGTTGGGTGCCATTCGATCTCACCGTGTGGTTCTAAAAGCCAGTAAGGAAACACTTGTTGTAAAAAACTATGAAACACAGCCTTTGTTCCACAAAAAAATTATAGCGAAGATCCTGAACACGGTTCGAAGCGTTCGACCAAGAGCAACTCTTGAATCACTAAATGGCAAGCAAGTTTACTTTCTTGTACATTCAAAAAATTTTTTCTCCGAATTCAAGCTGGAAATAGCTGTGAGTGAGATAATTGAACTTCGATGACAAGAAAAAATTGAATTTTCTTGAACAAAATTTAACGATTGATACTCACGAAGCCCATAAATAGATTTTACCATGAATTTACTCTAATTGATAATTCAAAAAAGGCTTTTTTTGCTTCTTTTTTACGGAATTTTCTATCATCTGTGCACATTATGGCAGGGCGTGTGCTTCTTCTTCACTTCTTGGGCTCTTTTTCGAGCCAAAAGGGCAGATTCTGTGTGGTTTTCTTCCGAAGTTATTTTATGTTCTGTACAGTATTTTGAAGTTGAGAAAATCCCTCCCCCCCCCATTTTTTGGGTATTCTTGCTGAATTTGACAAAATGGGAAAACCAATTAAATGTGTCCCCATCGGAATCAATGGGAAAATTGACGTTGCGACATAGTGACAAATTCGAAGAACAAATTACGTCCGCATCTCGAGGCCCCAATCTAGTCTTTTTTTTTCAGCCAGAAATTGAAAAACGGCAGAAGACATGATATTCTCATACAGTAATTCAGAACCGCGGGAAAACTTAATAACTGCCAAAATAACGTTCACCACTCACGGTTTTCTGGACTTTCATCGGTTGAGGTACAGCAAACTCGGTCGAAATCAAGTGGCGATTGAGGCTCAATATGATATCAATATCCACCTGAAAATACAATTCTAGTCATCAGCACCGACGTGGACGCGACCACTGAAAAATTGCGAAATCAGTGTCAACCCTAATTTAAAAAAATGTTGAACACAGAAATAACAACATAGCATAATACACTTCACAAGAATGAGAAAATGTCTCACTACCTCTTTTCCCTTCGTTTCGCCTTTTTCAAACCACTCCACCGTGACAGTTTTCGAGTCCATGTTGATGCCCGATATGACGGCGGAATGTACCCGTCCTGCAGAACAAAGAGAAGAAAAACCTTCCGGTCAAAAAACAAAACTAACAAGAATAAGCACAACTGTTTTCGCACTTCAACGCTAAATTACAGTACAGTACAATATTTCATATTTTTCATGTAGGCGTACCCTAAATGTAGTGGAAAATTTGCGAGGAGGTAAGTTTTCGTCGGGATCATCACTCACGCAAAACTGGACTGACGTCCCGGAAATAACGTTCGGGCGTCAAAATAAAGATACCCACAAGACAGGTTTCCGAGTTTTCTACCATAAAAATGAATGAGGCAATTCGAAGAAAGCTTAAACGTAAAAGAAGAATCTTTTCAAACCCACGGAACGAAGCAATGCCTTCAAAGATAAACCAACAAACAGCATTCCAAAGATCTCAGGAAATGGATTTCGCAATCACATCTTTAGAAGGGGGAGAAAAAAAAAGACCGAACAGGAAGATGAAACCCACGTCTGTGATATCCCCAACCCGACTTGAAGCGAGTTTTTTTTTTTCGCCCTCAGGGCTTTGACAAAAGCGCTATTCTATTGTCAGTAAGTGACTCATGTGATGTGACAGAGGTCAAGTCACACTTCGGACGTTCGTTCCTTCATCCTTGACCCGGCGAAAAAAAAATTACCTGGTTGAAACCAGACCGCGGCCTTCTGCACTTCTACCATAAGCACAGCACTTCCAAGCAATTCCACGACCCCGCATGTCGTCACACGATACCAGTACATTATTATTCTCCTCAGGAACTTAAAATTCGCTCACACTTATTTCGTCTAATAACACACTGATCATGTACAGTACTGTATTGTACAACACTATATAAATGCTATTTCCCTGTGTACTTTTCTGTCAGCGTAAGGAGAGAAAAATAAATAAATAAATTACGATGTAAATCAGTGTAATACTGTACAGTAAGAAAGTGCTTGCCCCAGTAGAAAAAAAAATAAAGACAACCAATTACAAGGAAAATCGGAGAAGTCGAAAATCCCATTCAAGCGCGGACAATTATCGGACCCGTGCAGTGACAATTTTCAGGATGCTTTTCACGGTAAAATTTTTCATGGTAAGTACTGCCACACAGCTACTCGGCGGACGACTTCATTGCTCTCATTCACACGACAAACCCAATAATTTTTTTATGCAAGAAAAAAAAAACAGACACACGCTTTACGCAGCAGGTCAATAAGTTCATAGAAATTTCGTGCGGGCAAAACAGCAAGTTCGTTGATCCCAATAAAAAAAATACTGTACCATCAAAAACAATAAAAACGATCAACAATGTTCCGCGCGTAAAAACAGGTCAGAGACGATGTGGTCAAGGTTCTCACAATCAAGCGACATACACAATTGAGCCTTTTCATGCCCATGTAGGCGATTCATGCGAAAATAATTCCGAAGCATAAATTTTTTTTAACCTTTCAACACGACATTAAAAGACAGACAACAATTCCATGCAAAAAAGGGGGAGGAATTCTTTGAAAAGAGAATGACATTCACTTTTCTGCTGCTCTAAGCCAACATTGCTCTTTGATTAATTAGAGGCAAAAACTCTTGAAAATACCCTTCTCAACTGCGGAAATCCTGAACTCGGCAATTTTCTTCATTCGAAAGCGTTGCCAGAATTTTGTTTTGATTCATCACGCGCTTGTTTGACTAGGTCCTGTTGCGTTGATTAGTTTATGTTTAGTTAATCAAAACTAAGTTGATGGTTCAGGTCAATTAAAAAATGAAAAATAAGCACAAACGAAAGTTCTTCTGACTGGTTCAATACGCTGTATAGGTTATATTTTTCAACTGCCAAAAGACTTATGACGCTTGAATAAATGTGATTCGTGAGCTTTTTGTTTTGTTTCAATATTTATACACTCCTGTATATACTTCTCAAACTAGTATATTTGGCGCATGTATACTGTACAAGTATACACATAGTATATTTGTACTATCTATAATCGAAACTATTTCGAAAAACCACCATAGATCTCATCTTATTCGATGACGTGTTGACTTACAGTGACTTCTTCATACAGACCATAATTCAAGACATTTACTACGAGACGCCAATAAAAAAAAGACACAAGTTCTTTGAAGCTAGGTTTGCCACAAAAAAAGGTGCGGTTTATCAATACGGTAAATATTGATAAAGATGTAGGCAGAAAATAAGAACAAACAGAAAAATTCCCACGGCTCAGACCTCGGACTGCAAAATCAATTGAGTATCACAGCAAAAATCAGCATTAAAAGCATCTAAAAATCTCCGTAGGAAAACATTCTTTTTAAAAAAATTCTACGGATTTCTTCGGGAGATAAAACAGCAGGCCACATTTACATTAAATCGAAACGCCTTCAGCAGAGGCTCGCAGACAAGATAAACTTTTCGTTTCCCCCGTTAATTTTTTTTTGCAGAAAAATACCTGCATTTCATCAGGTGTCGAATGCCGTTGGAAAGGCCAGCGTCAGCTGACGCTTTTCTCGGCCTTCAGCCGGAAAGAACGTTACTCTCGTGGAACCGTTTGCGATTCGTCACGCACACACAAGTCTGGCCGAGAAACGCGAAAATGGACTCTTTTTCCTCTCGGTATGATTTTCTTTCTTCGAAGTACCCCATTTTCTTTCAATCAAATTACCATCGGATTCGAAGAACGGTTCACTACGGATCCCAGAAAGTTATTTCTTGCCCTTCAAGTCCGTTATCTATATGTATTCTTACGTCGGAGAAAGCCGTTCATGGAATCATACCGAAATCGAACGATTTCAGAAAAGAGATACAGTACAGCACCTTAGGTCGGCAGAACGAAAAAACAAACATCTCCGCACAAAAAAAGAAGAAGAGTGGAATCCTAAAAGTGAACAGAAAACGGATTTCTTTCTTTCTCTGTATTTAAAAGAAAAGGCGGCGGACTATAAAAGCACAGCTCGACAAGCATGAAATAACGTCATACCGCATGTTCCTTTCTTGCGGTCTATGGTACAAAACCGTACACAACTCGAAAGGAAAAGAAAATAAAAGACGACCAAGAGAAATTGCCACTGGGCTGGAGAAATAAATCCCTTCAGAAAGACTGATCCCAGGTGTTCAGGCCAACGTCCCGTAACCGGCTTCAACAGCAGGGGCATGCGTTGAAATTTCGCTCTACTTCTCGCAAAAAAATAAAACTGAGAACACGCCATGATCCCGGAATCTCGCAGACCAAGATCAAAACGACACATAAATCTCGATATTTTCCGCTTTAGAAAAAATCAACCCTGATCGCAAAAGGAATCCAACGGAAATAACGAACCCAACGAAATTATCTGATAAGAAATATTCGGATCAGATCTTGTGTGTTCAAGAACTGCGCATTTTCGAGAACTTTCGGCTTTCAAGTAACGCAGAAAATACATTAGAAACTTTTCTAGGAAAACAAAGGAACCAACCATACTTTAAGCATGAAGCACAAGCATCGCGAAAAACATCGCCTCCACGTTATTGGCGATTGCATCACACTTTCTGAAGAAAAAAAATATGCCAACAACTTAATATTTTCCACAGCCAAACTTTTCAGAACCAGAAAATGAATAAATGCTACAGGCATAACGATAGAGACGATACATTTCATGCATTAATCGCAAAATGTAAATTGTTCGGTGACCAAAACTTTATGCGTACAGATAAAATGCATTCCACAATACTGTGAACCGAACTTTCAAAGAAATAAACCAAAAAATGCTTCCATAGCAAATGCAATAAAAAGAAGAAAGAACCTTTTTGTCCTAATTTTTCTCCAGGGCATTAAATTTGGTGTTCGGACTCCAACTTCTTCGAGTATAAATATAAGTGTGGATCTGATAGCCTACCAAGAAAATAAGACCTCCCGAAGTTAGTCAAAAAAGATAAGCAACGATGAAAAGAAGGACATCCAAGTACTTTGCTATCATAACAAACAAAAACTATGCACTACACAATTTTAGCCCCTAGTGGTCATCAACAAAGAGCAAGGATATTTCAATGAGAGAATCACGACATGGAATTAAATTAAATTGATCTCGACCTCGAGCTGAACAAAATGGCATCGCTTCCATACACACACAAAAAAATACAGGAGTAGAGTGCGAGAAATAACAAAAAAACGGAATACATCGAACAAATTATGGTTCTATGCCTCATTTTACTCTTCCACTCCACCAACTCCCGTCAATCCCGATTCAACCCCTTCCCCTCTCTTACTATCCCGTCACAACGGGATTCAATGCGGCAGAAAAATACTCGTCCGTCTCGCTCGATTGAGTTCGTCCAATTATGGTCGCGAAGGACCCAGACCAACAAAACTCCGCCAATGTTCCACACTGGTACAGGTTATTAACCCAAAAAATCCCCGCGTATTCGGGTTGGTAACGGTGGCGCGTGACCGATAAGGCGGTCATCCGCACGGAAAACTAGTTGAACGACGAAAGAAGAAAAAAAGACTCATCGCTCACAGTCATCTTCCGGTCACTTTTGGACGAAGAAAATAATCCATTCCACACNTCGGCAGAACGAAAAAACAAACATCTCCGCACAAAAAAAGAAGAAGAGTGGAATCCTAAAAGTGAACAGAAAACGGATTTCTTTCTTTCTCTGTATTTAAAAGAAAAGGCGGCGGACTATAAAAGCACAGCTCGACAAGCATGAAATAACGTCATACCGCATGTTCCTTCCTTGCGGTCTATGGTACAAAACCGTACACAACTTGAAAGGAAAAGAAAATAAAAAAAGACCAAGAGAAATTGCCACTGGGCTGGAGGAATAAATCCCTTCAGAAAGACTGATCCCAGGTGTTCAGGCCAACGTCCCGTAACCGGCTTCAACAGCAGGGGCATGCGTTGAAATTTCGCTCTACTTCTCGCAAAAAATAAAACTGAGAACACGCCATGATCCCGGAATCTCGCAGACCAAGATCAAAACGACACATAAATCTCGACATTTTCCGCTTTAGAAAAAATCAACCCTGATCGCAAAAGGAATCCAACGGAAATAACGAACCCAACGAAATTATCTGATAAGAAATATTCGGATCAGATCTTGTGTGTTCAAGAACTGCGCATTTTCGAGAACTTTCGGCTTTCAAGTAACGCAGAAAATACATTAGAAACTTTTCTAGGAAAACAAAGGAACCAACCATACTTTAAGCATGAAGCACAAACATCGCGAAAAACATCGTCTCCACGTTATTGGCGATTGCATCACACTTTCTGAAAATAAAAATATGCCAACAACTTGATATTTTCCACAGCAAACTTTTCAGAACCAGAAAATGAATAAATGCCACACGCATAAAGATAGAGACGATACATTTCATGCATTAATCGCAAAATGTAATTTTTTCGGTAGCCAAAACTTTATACGTACAGCTAAAATGCATTCCACAATACTGTACTGTATACCGAACTTTCAAAGAAATAAACCAAAAAATGCTTCCGTAGCAAATTAATAAAAAGAAGAAAGAACCTTCTTGTCCTAATTTTTCTCCCGGGCAATTCTGTGTTCGGACTCAAACTTATCCGAGTAAAAAGATGAGTGTGGATCTAATCACCTACCAAGAAAATAAGCCCTCCCGAAGCTAGTCAAAAAAAGATAAGCAACTATGAAAAGAAGGACATCCAAGTACTTTGGTATGTATTGTTTGTTTTTGATACGTGATGTGTTAAAATCGGGGATCACCAGTAGTTGTTTCTCGTTCCTATAAAGTTACTCTCTTAGTGCTGTACCTTA